GTCGACGATGAAATAACCCAACTCGCACCCCCTTAGTGACGTAGCACGTAGCCTATCACCCGCTAAGAGGCGAAGCGCCCCCACGGCGCGGACGAAAGCCGAAAGAACAAGTAGAGAATCTTTGGCATTACGGCTCGGGATTGCGTGCATATTTTATATAGCAATTATATATTATAGCAAAGTATGATACCTTGCAAGCAATTGCGTGCTTAGCAAAACAATGTTTTGGTGCACGCAATTGCGTGCTGTATAGCAAAAAATGCATAGGTGCACGCAATTGCGTGCGTATAGCAAATTAATGTATTACTGTTAGTGCACGCAGAGACTTAATTACGCAATTATTGCGTTCGTATCACACTCCCATTCAGTTCAGATTTAGCCAAGCCTTAAGGCAGAGTTACAGAAACTTATTTTGGGTGGATTTTCTCTCTTTTTTCTCTTGTTATTACTCTGAATAATAAAAATATTTTCCCTTGGGAAACAATAATAATAAATAATTCCGCGAGACCTTTCCCGGAAGAAGAAAAAGACTGCTTCACAGAATTCTACACTTAAGTGTAGAATTCTGTGGGAAAGACAGAAGAAGGAGCTTGGAAAAATCAACTTCCGGAAAAGCCGGGTCTGTCAAGATGGCCTCCACTGGAGTTTTACCGTTTGTGAGGGGCATAGATCTCACAAACAATGACTTTTCGGTAAGCTTCGTGCATGTAAACTAACAGTTCATCTTAGATACATTTGTTCTCTAAATGTCTTTCCTCTTCGTGTTTGCTTTTCTGAGACAAGACGTGTTTTTGTCGAACTATGTGACCGTGCGCTGCGAGCAGGAAGTGACTTTGTAATTGTTACACTTTGTTGTTTTTGTTATAGACTGACTAAGTATAGAGAGTTAGGTAGGCCCTTGATCTAGCCCTAGGCTTTTATAGAAATCTAGAGATCAAGATCTAGACTCCGACTATATTTTATTATAATAGTAGGCCTTGATCTAGTTATTATATCAAGTAAAGTGTAAGTAAAGGTAGGCCTAGCCCTAGTAAATATAAGTTAGAGTTCCTTCCTCTGGCTGGCCTCCGTTAAGACTATTAATTAAGAGGGTGGCAGTCTGCCGCAGGTAGACAGGAAAGCGGCAACCTCTTGTGGCCTCGTCCAGAGTACATCCGGGCCCGGTCTCGCGTTGTTCTCCATAAGTGGGCCTAGATGTGCTTCCCCCCGCGGGCACTCATACAGTGCGTGCTGCAGGTCGTCAGGACTTGCGCCACACGCCAGACAGGAATCATTGGGAGCGGAGCCTATTTCATGGAGATACGTCTGCAGGATGGGGCTCTTCACGTTGCATCTTAGCTGCAATAACACTCTTCTCTGTATGACGGTAAGGTCTTTCTCTTTGTCCCTCTCCGGTGGTGGCTTCACCTTTCCCCCGACGGAGTCGCGCACTCGCGCTTTCTCCCATGCGTGGACAATGATGTAACACGAGATGCACGAGCTTGCTGACGCGATATCCACTGGAGTGTTGGACTGGTCGAGGCAGCCTCCCTTGTTGGCCAGGGCGTCAGCTCGGTCGTTCCCATAGATGTCGCAATGTCCTGGTATCCATTGTATGTGAAGGTGTCCGTGGATTACACAGCATTGGCAGATAGTGGTCCACATTTTGTCCTCTATCTCAGTACGAACTGCAGTCACTCCGGACATTAAGTGTTGAACAACTGACTGAGAGTCTGTGAAGATGTGGATTCTTTGAAAACGTGGTTGTTTTTAGAGCCATTGCAGTGTGCGGAACAGGGCGGTAGTTTTAGCTCGGTAGCTGCTTCCGTATAGTCCCGTGGGCATGGATACGCATGTTTCCTCCCCAGAAGATTTGTCTAGACACCAGTATCCTCCTCCACATAACCTGTAGCCGTCGGTGGCATGGCCGTCAGTGAAGATATCGAGGTCGGACGTAGGCAATCGGCGCACAGTCTCGAGAGCTGCTTCACGTTGCATATTAGGTGGATCTGTTTTTGTTGTAGACACTGCCACGGGGGAGTTGTTGTTTTTGTTGTTGTTGCTGTAGCTGCTCTCCCTTACCATTCGAACTTCCTGTTCTTCTACTTCAAATATAATTAATATACCCATTGCTGTGTTCTGCTTCTTCTACTTCTATTAAATGTTCCTATTTGTGACTGCTGTTTTTGCCAGAATTGTCTCCGTAGCACTGAAATGGCAGCAGCTGATAGTATGTTGGTAGCAGTAATATCGTCCTCCTCCTCTTCCTTTTTACTCCTCCTCCTCCTCCTTTTTTCTCCTCACCATCTTCCTCCTCCTCCTCCTCCTCCTCCTCCTCCTCAACCTTCTTCTTCTTCTTCTTCTTCTTCTTCTCCTTCTCCTTCTCCTTCTCCTTCTCCTTCTCCTTCTCCTTCTCCTTCTCCTTCTTCTTCTTCTTCTTCTTCTTCTTCTTCTTCTTCTTCTTCTTCTTATTCTACAAAAGATCACGACGATTGAAGAACTGATCAAATACGTTATAATCAAGTGTGGCTTGGCTGCACTCAACCATCCTCGAGGCCAGCAGTGGCTTCCTGATAAAACCGGCCAACCCACAAAATTGAGGGTTGGTCGGTTTTATCGTGGAAAATTTGAGCGACATAACCGTCTAACCCACGCAGTTTCATTAAAAGCGATTTTTTAAGAAAAAAAAGGTCTACAGTTTTTCGGTAAAGTGTTTTTATAACTGTTTAAAGCATTGATTTATCGTTAGACACCTTTGTTTTGAAATAAAACAGTTTTTTCCTTCTCCTGTAAAATTTACCTCGCTGGGGTTAGCCGGTTTTATCACAAGGCCGACGATATGTCCAATTATTAGGAGCTGGAGAATCGCCGAGGAAAGCTATCTCGGTCAGAATGCGTGGTCGGCCGGTTAAAAAATTGACACGCGTGCTTTCAAATGCTTCGCGGAAAAATTTATGATCAAATACAGTCTTTTCATTGGCGGAGAACTGTCGAGCTTTGAACAGGCTTACCTGTGGTATATTTTTGGCCTTTGGCATTTAAATAGAGAACCTGTAAAAATATCGTCAAAATTTTCAAAGATAATTTTTTACACGAAGTATGTAAAATACCAGCTAAAAAAAGCTTCCAATAGAAAGATCAGTTAATTTCCTATTAGAATACAGTAATCAGTTTGGAATTATTTGGCATCAATCCTTCCGCGAAACTCGGAAAGCATGTGACCCCTCACGCGGGGTACACTACAGTATAGTGTCGACTCGCTGGGTGAGGGGGGCGGGGTCAATGCTCAGTGTTTTTGTCGAAATAACGACAGATCATCGTGTTTGAGGCAGTAAAATACTGATTTGTAATGATCTCAGTCTTGAAAAAAATGTGGCTCCATATACAGTCGAAGAACCTGTTTAAGATGGAATCGCATGGGAGCCAGAACAAAATTTCGTCTTAGACATTTTCTGTCCTAGACAGGGGAATTTAGGAGGAGATGGAGGGGGGGGGGGTTTAAAGGCCCAGCCGGTGGGATCGAGGATCGCTTGTACGATTGGCAAGCAGTGGTCAAAACTTCTCACCACTCAATTGCTATCCTGTCTGAAACGTCAGTCTTACTTATCCAATTACCACCAGTGCTTGCCTTTCATAGTATCATAGGACCTCTGTTTGACCTATTAAAAACAGAAACGCTTGAACGCCTCCTTTTTTTCCACCTTTAGCCCCACCCATCAGTGTAACAAGCACAGTCAACCAATGCCACCCTTCACTGCCATCATGTAACAATGATTCGAGGACCTCTTTTCTCGACTGGTGTACAATCAGGAGGCAGGCATTGGTCAACCTTATTTTACACCTCTGGCTTCTCGCTACCCAGGAAAGTTTCCGTAGTGGTTCGAGCACTCTCACAAGCTGTCGTGAGATTTCACACCTACACTACCCTGACCATCTGCATCGCTCAGGGCTCACATGATGGGGTAACATCTACCCCCGAATTGCACCCCTACTCCCTTTCCTCGCCATGACGCTAAGTTTAGAGCACAGAATTCTACACTTATAGTATAGAATTCTGTGGTTTAGAGCCAGTTGAACCAAACTTGCGAGTTTTGTTTCAAATCAGGGCTGGGCGGGCAAAGCATTTTCCGTCTTAGACAGGTAAAACCCTCTGAAGGGAGCGGACTTTTCTTTCTGTTTCCGCGTTGGACAGGTTTCCGTTTAAAACAGGTAATTAAAGAGGAATATATCAAGGGGGGAGCGGGGAGATTCTCAAGACAGGTTTCCGTCAAGGCAGGTTCGGTTGTATATGTTATAGGGATTGTTACTCTCTTAAGTTAATGTGGAGATGTTTAGTGCACTTGGTACTCTTTTATTACCTGTCAAACATGGGGTTGCAGCAAGTGAACGACTTTAACAAACAAACTTGATCAAATTTTAAATAACTACCATTGTCTTAAAAATTGACTGAGAGGTTAAAGAATAGTACCAAAATGCTCAGGGGATATAGACCTTTCATATGGAACAGATAAATTTGGCATACAGCTACTTTGAAAATTTAGTTTCTGGTACCGTAAATTATAAAGAAAAGACCGAACCCTGACCTTAAACGAACCTTAATCCAAATCCTAGCCCTCAGCCAAACCCTAGCCGCCAAGTCCTAACCACTAACCGGACAAACCCTAGCCTAACTCTCACCTTTAAAACCGTAACCCTATTACTTAAATTACTATGACTATTATTGTTAATTGTAAATTTGCACTGCGTCAGGGAAAGTCTTAGGCTTAGGAATAAGGGGGCATCTTAAACGTAAGATGAGTACAATAAATGTTCAATACAATATTTTGTAATTTATGTATCCATTTTATGTATTTTGCGTATATATATAATTTCAATATTGTGTATTTGTATGTGCTCATTTCATAACGATGTGTAAGTATGTGTGTGTGAAGCAAGTAGATGTGTGTGTGCGTGAGTGTGTGTGTCTGTGTGCATGAGTGAATATTGTTCGTACATTCATTTATGTAAAACGCATAGAGCTGTGTTCACACAGGAGTGGGCGCTATAGAAATGATCTACTCTATTATTACTATTATTATTATTATTATTATTTTTGATACAAACACCTGTCCAGAAAACTATATATATATACATACTGGGTTGGGTTCCTGTGGCCTCCTTGAATTCAAGGAGTCTTTGATTTTGCATTCAAGGAAAAATCTCTTTGAAAACTCCTTGAATTTTAGGAACCTCCTTGAAAACTTGAATTTTGCCAGATCGGACATGAACAAAGTTTTTGTCAGAAAATCTAAACTATGATTCCTTTCGTGTGTAGACCTATTGGAAATAGGCTTCTGCATGAATTTCTGGACCAAATCTCCTTGAATTTTAAAAATTCCTCCTTGAAATCGCCTTGAATTTGGTGGGGAGTTCATGGCAGGAACCTTGAATATAAAACTCAATCGACACACACAAAATATAATGTTCTCATGTCTCTTTCATGTTTTTCTTTAGGCGTATTGAAGCAGGTAAAGATGATTTTGTTAGTTGAGGGCTGCTGCTACTGCTAGTGAAGATTTAGACAATAGAACCCATTGTACAAGGAGGGGATAAGAGAAACAGACAGAACAAGCTGAGTGGACATTATCCAAGAATAGAGATGTTCTACCTGAAGAGATGAGCAATGCACAGTGAGAACTGGGAAGGATGAAGAGAGCTGGTTGCTAAGTCATCAATAGTGCCCTCAAAGTCTATACCGGATATGATATGAGTTACAATTCTTGCTCTGAAGCTTTAAATCAAGAACTAGAATATAGATTTATCTAGCTAGAGACTTGAGATGCTTCTACAAATGTACAGATGTGGTTGTTTGATCTTACTTTGCCTCCCCCTCTATCCCTCCTCATGCTTGAACTAACCCCTAATCAATCAAAGGTAATTAGAGAGATTAAAGATACAAAGTTATACTTCAAGAAATCTCTCCTCTCTTTCAGAAAAATTTTCCTCATCATGTCAAGGATATGACTGGTTTGCGTTGGTTGAGACTGAGTCACACGCAACTGAAGGAAGTGCCAGCGGAAATTAGTGCTTTGAATAAATTGGTGAGTTGTGTTGTTGACTTTCTTTATACCCATTCTATAATTCTAGGATATTTTTTGAAATTCGTATGTCTGTTTTATGAAAGTCTCAGTTTGTGTACCACCTGAATGACATCTATTTTGGAAGATATTGTCAATCCTATTTTTCAGCAAGCCAGAGATGTCTACAATACAACTTGAATTACTTGAATCTAGAACTGGGGTCTTAGGAAGACGGGATGCTCCATGCTTCCTTGCCCCTCTTCATGAGGGTCCATTTCATTGTGGGCAGACTGATTGTCTCCATCATCAGCTGGTTGATGTAGCGTCTGATGGGGTCACGCAGCCTGATCTTCCTACCTTCACCAAACTGCACTCCTTTTGCAATCACAATCTCCTTCGTGAAGGAGTCCTCGTCAGGGCTGCTTGCTAGGTTTTCTCGGACGAGGGCTACTACAGTTGGAGGGTCAAGGGTAAGCACTCCCTCTATGTTTGCGGAGCCTGCTAGCTTATCTGCTCTTTCATTTCCCTTGACTCCTGCATGTCCTGGGCAGAAGATCCACTGCAAGCATCTGATTTTGCTGTCTTGGATTGTCTTAACACTTTGCCGCCTCATCTCGCCGATTGGCGATGTTTACCACCCAGTTTCTTAGGACTTTCCCCAAAATATGATGGCAAAGTGTTAAACCAATGTGCATAGAGGCTGCCGGTCAAGATCTTATCCAGAGTACTCGTTGAATCTGTAACAAAGGTAGCCTGCTGGTATCCATTAGTGCAAAGCCATTTCAGAGCCTCAGTGATGGCCTTTATCTCCATGCACATGCTTGATGTAGTGAGGCCCGTTGCCCCTGATGCCTCCTGGACTGTTACTCCTTGGCAAGAAGCTGTGTAAGCCCAGCCTGATTTGATCCCACGCTGAACAGAGCCATCGGTGAAGATAATGGTTTCATCCTCTCTGCAGTTCTCTTCAATTAGAGTCTGGATTTCTGCATGTGTTGCTCCTTCAAGCCATTCACGACACTCTCGCCCTAATGTAGCAATTATGTGAGTGAATCTGTCTTTCACCTCGTCCGCAAGCTGTACCCATGTCTCCCCTCGTCTGATTGCTCCCACAGTGAGACCACACTCTTTAATGGTTTGCACTGCCTGTGTCATCCACTCCGTGCCCCGTTTGAGTCTTAGGTTAGTCTGATGACCTACTTTGTCATGAAGAGGATTCTGTGGATCTGCGCAGACTTTCAGATAAGCTTTGACCTGTGCGAGCCTGTGTCTTTCGTTTATGCTGGGTAGGCCTAGCACATATCGCATTGCAATAGCTGGTGTATCTTTTGTGCTACCAAGTATGGCTCTTATTTCCTCATTCTGGATCTCGTCCAGCCTTCTAAGTTGCGTCTTGGACAGTGTCAGCCGACCAAAACCATAATCTATCTGAGACAAGACAAGCATGTAAAAAAGCAAGACCAAATTTTTTCTGCGGCATCCTGTCTCTCGCCATCACCTTCACTGCATTCAGCCCTTTTCTGGCATTTGTGACGATTTTCGATATGTGCTCCTTGCCACTCAAAGTCCTGTCAAACACTATTCCGAGGTAGCGCAGTGTTTCTTCTCTTTTGATTGTCTGGCCTTTGATGTAGACATCTATCATCTGGGCTTTCACTGTTCGATTGTTGAGGGAGCACCAAAGTACTATCACTTTTCCAGGATGAATTTTGCCTTTATTTGCTTCACACCATGCTCCAATCCTATCAAACTCTTTCTGTATACTGCTGGCGATCCCTTGTCTGTCTTTCCCTGTGCGGCATGCAAGACTGTCATCCGCAAAGCTTAGTGTCCTGCCAGGGCCTTCCAATTGGCTAGAAGTGATTCCTACTGTATATATGTTGAACAAAACAGGTGATAGGGCAGAGCCATGAGGTAAGCCAGGTATGATCGTGCAAACGTTTGATGCCCGCGAGCCAAGCCTCATGGCCATCCTCTTCAACATTGCTTCTCCAGTCCAGATAATCAAAGCTGGGGTGATTCTCAAGTTGACTAGCGTTCTCATCAGTACCTCATATTGTACCCTGTTGTACGCGTCTTCCAAGTCCAATGCAACCTCTACTGTTTCTTCACCCCTCTCAAAACCATCATACACATCAGAGGCCAGGACTGCATCGTTCATCCAAGTGTCTTTGCCTTTACAATAACTGCCTAAAGTAGGGGGTAGCAGATTCTTCTCCTCCAGTTCAGCCGCCAGCATTTGGGCCTCAATCTTTTCAGGTAGTTTCCCTATTGTGTTCTGCATGGTGATGATTCTGTAGGATGCAATCTTGCTTGGTTCTTTTTCAGGCTTGGGTACTGGTGCCAGATGACTGTCCAGCCTGTCAGTCGGTATCTGTCCATTTTCAAAACTGTTGTTAAAGGCCTGTGTTAAAATACATGGCTAGAATACAAATAGCCCATAAGTCCTACTGTTAACGGCATAATGCTCCCCTGATTTGACGCCGCCCATACATTTCAACCTCTGTGGTGTTGGAGCATACAGGGTGATTAACTGGTTTTGGAAAGCTATAAATCTGATATTTTTATCTAATTTATCCATTTTGGTGCTTCTATGCTTCTATTCTATTCATTTTCATTTCAAATTTGAACAAGTAGGTCATGGTACTAAAATGGATATCATCCCTACCAACTGGCCTAAAATCAAGAAACATTCAGTTCTACAAAATTTGACAAAAATTTGAGTAATTTTAGGCCAGTTGGTAAGGATGATATCCCTAGGGTACAGTTTTTCAAAAGTTCGACCACAGTACTTTGTATATAAAAAAAAGAAGAAAAAAAGACTTTTTTACTCACCTTTACATTGGCAAAGGGGGGAAAAAATTCCATTTTCAACTAAATTGTTTCTATTCTCTAGGTCCTGTATTCTATTTTGTTGAGGACAGTGGGTGATGTCTCTCAAATTTCCCCTCAAAATTTGTCTCCCCCCTCCCCCCATGAAAGCAAGAAAACTAAGAAAGAAGAAAGAAAAGAAAAAATCCTTGAAAAAACCCACAAAACAAAACAAGAACTATAAGACAAACAGCAACAAGACCAACAATATATGCATAGCAGCAGCAGCAACTACAATGACAGCAACTACACCAACAACAAAAATTCCAAATTACTTATTTATTTTTAGAAGAGGAAAACATCAACCATAAAAACTTTATATAAACACCTATTATTCTGAACACAGACAGTGTAAATGTCCGAACTGTTTGCTTTGAAATGATCTCTTCAAATTGAGAAGTGGAATCACTAACAACCACCCCCACCACCACTACCATTACCCCTAGCAACAGTAGCGCCAGCACTACTATTACGTCTAGCAGCAGCAGCAGCAGCACCACCACCACCATCACCGCAACAAGTAAATAATGTTTCAAAAGTCCAGGCCTTTGAATTTACTTCTTTGTGTGTAGAAGAGGAAACAACCTATGAACAACAGCAACAGTAGAAGCAGTAGCAACAATAGTCTTATGTTTGTCCCTCTCAACCCAGGTTGGCTCTCACAGGCGTTGTCAAATACCACTTTCTGAATGATCTAAATTGTATTGAAGGGGGAGTAAAAACACACATGTAAAAACCCCCAACCCATTAGTCTTTCTTTTCACTACGTTCTTTGTTTCAGCTTTCATGATATCACTCTGTTACTTTTACAGGAGGATATTCATATGGTGCGCAACAATGTAGAATCTCTTGGTTCAGGGTTGCCTGTTCTCCCAGCACTACACAGCATCAACTTCAGGTACAATAAACTAACGGACGAAGGCGTCCCCAACCAAATTTTCACTGGCAATGATTTATCTATTGTGGTAAGTTGCATGTTTTTTTTCTTCTAAGTTGTTTTTGTTATTAATTCAGTTTCTTTTAAGTTATATTGACATGTTTATGAGTTTTTAAGGTCATTGTTCAAGCTGTGTTAATGGTTTCTGTAATAAGTTAATATGGCTGTTTATGGTGCACTTTCTCAGAATATGATATCTTGTCCCCTGTCCAAACACTGTATGTAACCATGCATGTTCTCCCAAAACTGTTTTTGACACACTATCTTTTCTCTAATTGTTTTGCTATTATTCTGTTGACAGTTTTCATTTTCTTCTTAATTGCATCACAACTAGTATCAATTTATATTTACTGGGCTGTCCTGCTAAGTTCCTCTATTGAACTGTACAGCTTCCCTTGTAGTGTTAATAGGGTTGGCCATGTTTCATGTCCAAGGGTGGCTTTATGTGTCCTGCACACTGCTGGTGGATTTGTTCCACAGTTTGGTCTGCTTCTCCGCACTAGCATTTTTGTGGTTGTGTAAGTTTAAAACATTTGTAGTTATAATGTTTGAGTTTGAGCCTAGTAGTGCGTTGTGTTCTTTGTCTGAATATGCCTATATAATTTCCCAGAAGACTTCATTGGTAGACTTTACCGACCTGCTGACAGGGCCGTCTAGATTTGAAGTCTTTCCATTTCTATCTGACAATTGTTTCTTTGGGGTAATTTGTGAGCGGGCTTGGAACTGGATGTTGTACTGTCAGGCAGAGAAAGAATTAATTTTTTTGTTTTTGTTCTTAACATGTTTTATGAGAGTTGAATTTCTCATAAGGATGTTATATATTGAGTTCTATCTTGACAAAGACATAATGTAAGCCCAGTTCAAATCATTACGTGGACAAAATTTAACACTTTGTCCTCTTTTCCTTTTAAGACACCAAATGGCAAGAAAACCCATGATCCCTGTCATTTTACAGTGCAAAGCTCATGTCCTTTTTTTAGGGTTTTCACTTTTCACGAAAGAATCACACACTTTGAAGTCATAACGATAAAAGCAAAATTTAAGGCAAAATAAGTCTTGTTATTTTTACTGTCTTACTTGTTACATGGATGAAAGTTGCGTGACTAAGTCATTCATGCGTATTTTCCTTTGGAGCCATCATCTTGCCAAGGAATAGGCAAATGTCAGGTTTCCTGTAACATTAAAAAACCCAGTATTTTGAGAGGTTTCTGACAAAATGAAATAAGCAGATTTGAATCGTTACAATATTATGAAAATGTATAGATGTAGACATTGTACCTTCAAAGATCGGAATGAACGTACAAGTTTTTTCTTGGCTGATGAAATCGGCTAATAATGGGAAGTGGTCATTTGTACAAGTGATCACCTTGAACAGGTGGTCGTTAAAGCAGGTTTGACTGTATAAAGATATATAGTATATAAATTATGATGTACATAGTGATGAGTGAGTAACATATCTCTTTGTTTTTGTCTGCCAGGATCTGAGTCACAACAAGCTGACAGAAGTTCCCCCAGAGCTTGAGAATGCAAAGTCTGTGCTGGTCCTCAACCTCAGCCACAATCAGTGAGTCTCTGTGTTTGTGTAGGATATAAAATATACTTCTTTGTTTAATCTGTCATTCCCAGAAATCAACAGTGTACTGACTCTATCTCTCTCTCTCTCTCTTTGTCTCTCTTTCTCTCTCTCTTTGTCTCTCGTTCTCTCTCTCTTTGTCTCTCGTTCTCTCTCTCTGTCTCTGTATATCTCTCTGTCTCTGTCTCTCTCTGTCTCTCTGTCTCTGTCTCTGTCTCTGTCTCTGTCTCTGTCTCTGTCTCTCTCTGTCTCTCTCTCTCTCTGTCTCTTTCTCTCTCTCTCTCTCTCTCTCTCTCTCTCTCTCTCTCTCTCTCTCTCTCTCCCTGTCTTTCTCTCTCTCTGTCTCTTTCTTCCTTGTGCTGTTAAATTTGTACTAAAAGTAAGAGGATAAAATAGTTATCTATTTTTGTCGGAGCCACAGGTGTGTTAACATATGATAAATTTCCACTTTATGTTTCTTTCCCTCTATCTCTCCCTGCCTTCATCATCAACATTTTGTTCCTTAGGAAGAAAGTAATTCAGAATGTTCATTCATTTGTTTGCAAGGAATTATTATTAAATGGCACAATTTTTTTTCCCACCAGAATTGAAATGATCCCTAATCAGCTGTTCATAAATTTGACTGATCTTGTGTTCGTTGACCTCAGCAGTAACAATCTGGGTGAGTACACTAGTTCGGCAGTAACAATCTGGATGACTACACTAGTTCTGCTTTTCTGCTCAGCCTTTTTGTGTAAAATGTCAGGTTTGTGTGAAAAAATCTGTAAAAATGTAAAACAGTTTATATGAATTTTTTTTCTTTCTCACCAGCGTCCTACCCTTTTCTTTTCATATGCACCTTTGTGGTTGTTACAGCTTTGTAGTAAAAGGTATTTTTCTTCTTTTTGTTTTGCAATTAGTTATTGGACAGCTGTAGCTGCGTTAAAGCCAGAAAGGGTGTCTGTTTCCTTAGACTTCAGAGTGCATTTGTTATAAAGTGCCTGAAATTGTCTGCAAAAAACCCCAGAAGAAAAGGCCACCATGGTGTGGGGGTAATGTATCAACTTTCTGGAAAATAATATTTAGTTATAGATAAGAAGAGGATATCCAGATAATGTATCATGATTGCAGGTAAATAAGGAGTACAACCCTGAAGCCTTGACATTTCTCATATTGTGGGACATTTTTTGCAGTAGTAAGTGTTTTTATTCATTTTTCAGAAACCCTTCCCCCTCAAATGAGACGACTGACAAGTCTGCAGACTTTGATACTGGATAATAATCCGCTGATACATGCACAGTTGAGGTAGGTTTTTGGACTTACAGAATGATTGTGTGCTCATGCTACACCTTCCACTATTTCTTGTCTTGAGACTGTGCTTGTAGAAGATGTTATCACAGTAATATAAACTGAGGTGCTTGTTTGAGCCTTCTTGTGCTTTAAGATGATAGTACTTTAAAGTTTAAATGTTGGGTGTTTTTTTTTTCTTTTTTGGTTTCCTGATTGAGCTGGATTAGATTTAGAAATATTTTAGATAAAGGATTTGCTGTTGCTTAATGGGGGATAAGACGTATTTCGTTTTTCCATTTTATGAGTGTCCTTTCCCCTGATTTGTGGGTGGTTTTCAGACGCTCCAGTATGGTTTGCTCCTTCTTTCCCATCAAACATCTATCATCCTTATCTCTCCTTTTTTGTGTGTTTGTTACTCACTTGTTACTGCTTTGACCTACGACAATTATCTGACCTTAATTTTTTTTGCAAATGCCGTAAAACACTTACAAGAATCTTCAGCTCGTAATATGCCCTATCTGTCTTGCAAGTGCAGTTACTTAAACTCTCTACTGATACTTGCACTTTGTGGGTGGTTTGAGGGCACCACTGGTATGTCCTACTTCTTTACTTTCCTTCTCTGTTGTTTCTGTCTGTTTGTCTTTCTTACTTTTTCCCCAGCACTAAATGACCATTATTGTGTCGATGTGCTTCTCTTTACTCAAACAAGCAAACAAAGAAGCAAACAAAAACTTTCACTTCTCTTGATTTAGCTCACAGTCTAGCTCTTGACTGATAATTTTATTGCAAAGGGCAATTTTGTTTATGTCCCTTGAACACCTTTAGTTTGCTAGGCCATGCTGTACGCCCCATGATAACGTGAACTGTCACTTTTCTTATTTCGTTGCTTATTGTTTTCTTCAAGGCGCAAGTCCTTATTTTTGTAACTGTTTTTTCTTTTTTGTCTCTTCAACAGACAACTGCCTGTGCTGACAGCTCTCCAGACCCTGAGGATGAGAAACACTCAAAGAACACTGAGTAATTTCCCCACTGGACTTGATACCCTCACAAACCTGCAAGGTGGGCACCAAATGAGGATTGATTAGTCGAAAAAAAATGTTTCACTTAGAAGGATGACAAGGTTTTCTGAAAATATAGTAAAAATTTTGAAGCTCTGCATTCCCTTATAAGAAAGGTACTCGATTTCACTAGAATTTATCGTTAACCCCTTCCCTCTTGTTTCTTGAGTCTGAAATAGATCACTCAGTTGTCATTACATGGTGTCTGTTGATATTCCGCTCAGATGCAGTTGATGATCTGGGACAAAAGGGTGCAGAAATATGTGAGGCAGTGTTGTCAATTCTGGCGGTGGTCAAAATAATGAAAGTCAAGAAAATGGCATTTTTCTGCAGGTTTTGGAACTTTCATCAAATTTTTGTTTTATGACTCAACACTTTTCATACTCATTATAGAACACATTTCTTTGTGGATTGTACTGGAAAACGTTGATTAAAAGCATAAAAGAGGTACATTTTCAGTTTCCTCATACTCTCAAGAAATGGCAATAACTTAAGTTTGGTGGCCATTTTCTCGCCAATTTTACCTCTGAAACCAGGCGAACTCCACCTCCTTCAATCGCCAATAGCGTGACTTGTATCCAGGATAAATGGATACGCTCTTCATCAAAATCAAGGCAAATAGACAGGCTTTAAGATAATACCAATAACTTCATAAGCCCTGAACTCGACGAGTGCCTGATTCCACCGTGTTGTGACACATATTTCTTTTTTTATGTGACTCAAGATGGACATGTGGATTGGGGGGGGGGGGGGGGGAACCTAGCTCTAATGATTGGCATTTCATCGTTTAGATAGTGTCGGACATTGATGAGCCATATTCCAAATATAGTCTCCTACAGGAGCAGTTAAGATTGTTTATATAAAATATCTCAGAACACTTCAAAGCAAAATTTGGCAGAAATGAATGGGGAATGATTTAAAGAAACTTCATTTGAAACTTTGTATAGATGGTGTAATTGACCTTGTTTTTAAGAATTTTAGGAGTTGGCTCATTTGTGGCTAACGCCATCTATATAATTCTTCGTCCACTCTTCCCCTAAGACATTACAAAATTACATATTAAGTTTATGCCTGCCATTGACACTAATGACTCTTTGCTTTACTTAAGCGATCCTTTTCTGTCACATTAGTTTTAATAAACCTTTTGTCTCAAACAGTTTGACTTTGTTCTCCTCAGATGTTGATCTTTCGTATAACAACCTGACCCGTGTTCCAGAAGCTCTGTATAAACTAAGTTCCTTAAAACGACTCAATTTGAGTGATAATGAAATATCAGAACTCTCACTGATGATTGGTAAGTTTAAGTTTGATCTTATTTTCCTCCGTTCACCTTTTAGAAAATCCTCCTTTGTGGAGCTTTGATGTCTTAAAAAAATGGTCACCTCATAATTTATAATATGTAAAATACTAACTAAAAGTTTCCTGCATATTTGTACAAAGGCAATGGGTAGATACATTATGAAATCTGCACCCTGTTAAAGATCTAATTGGCTAGTGAGATGGTGCCACTTGTACCCCCTACTTCTTTGCTGTTATCATTTTGTTGTTTCTGACGCTCTTGCTTTTTTCCATTTGAAGCCTGTTCTTTTTCATCAAGTTGGTGTGCTTCTCTGTAATTTGAAAATGATGCTACTGCATTGAAAGGGGTGCATTTTCTCATCTTTACGTTTGGTATTTCTCTGTGTCTCTGTGTGTTCTTTGGTTCGTTTGTTATCAATGCACTGGTTGTTAGAAGATGAATTAGAAGGCCCAGCTTATTTTCTTTCTCACTATTGTTTCCTTTTGCCTATCTTGCTTTTTCCCCCCCTGCACTGAATAAACTTTGAAGTATCAGCGTGCTTTACTCAAACTCAAACTGCTCTCAGTAAGTCTCAGCAAGTGGTTGTACGGCACACTGTTAGATCATAAAAAAAATTGTCCTGTTGTTTCTGTCAGTCTGCTTTGCCTTTCCTTGAAGTGGAATGACCATTATCGCGTCGATTTGCTTCTCTTTTAAGGTATCGAACAAGAAATTGTATTGTGCCCGCATTTCTAATATGTTGAGGCTTCTGTGTTATTTTGTATATTCTTTTACATCAGTTTACAAAAAGAAATGGACTTACTGATTTGCCTATTTTCATTTCAGATGTATGGACAAAACTCGAAACTTTGAATCTCTCTAGAAACAAGCTAACAGCCCTTCCAGTGAGTATGAGTGTTAAATCCTGTTTATTAAAATGGGATATTAATGCCAAGGTGTCATGTCTCACGAATTATTTGATTTCATATAAACTGATGCAAGTTGTTAGAGGGCGCCTTTTGTTGGTCTTACTTCTTTCTTTCCCTACACTAAATGACCGTTATCATGCTGATGTGCTTTTCTTTACTCAAAACTAAACTAAACCAAATACTGACATACACACACTTGGACACATGCACAGATGCTCACATGGGTGGGGTCACTTGTGCTATTTATATATGCAGTTTACTTACTTACTTTATTTTACTTTTCCGATCCAGCGGCCATTTGGGTTCTAGCCCTTTGGTCTGTCGATATGGCAAAGAATTGACAGGTTTTAATCAGCTGTGCTTTGTCGCTGTATAGAGTGTTTCCGATGTCTGGGGAGGCAGGTAGGTAGGTGCTATGCAGGTCACAAAGTGCTGGGCAGTTAAAGAGGTGGTGTGGTACTGTTTCATCCTAGCAGTTGCACAACGGGCAGTCGGGTGGGGTATCCTTGCGGATCCTATTAAGGTAGGAATTTAGTGATATGTGTTGTGTTCGCAGGCGAAATATCGTGACTTGTTCTCTTCTACTCAGGGAATTTATTGCATCTTTAGAGTTGGGGGCTGTCATGTGTGCAAATACAGTTCTTCCAGTTTTGCCCATTGCCCATCCATTCAGCCACTGTTCCTTGGTGTTGCATTTGATGATGTTTTTGGCTGTCTGTTGTGATACTGGGTTGTGAGGTTGTGTTTGTGATGCTCCCTTCTTGGCAAGGGTGTCTGCTCTGTCGTTTCCTGGGATGTTGCTGTGGCCAGGTATCCACTGTAGTGTCAGGTTGACGGCATAGGTCTGTATGAACGTATTGATTGTTTTGAGCCACGGATAGGTAGGCTGGGCTTTCGAAATTCATGTTTTCCAAAGCTTGGAGTACTGACTTTCCATCTGTGAAGATAATAGTGTTTTTGATTTTGTTTGGATCTATTATGAAAACGTTGGGTCAGGTGGAGGATTGCTGCTTCAATGGCGATTGCCTCAGCCTCGTAATTTGTACAAGAAGTACCACATGCATCAAATAGCTCTTCACATGTTTTGTCAGGATGTTCAATTCTTACCCCAAAGCCTGCGTTTATAGTTCCCTTGAAGGCTGACCTGTCTGTATAAATATGAATTGAATCACTAGGGTAGGAGTCAATTGTCTTCAGAGCTGTTGTCTTCAGTTCTACTGGGTCACATTCCTTTTTCACTGTCTCTTTTATGAAGGAGGTTTTGATGTTGGCATTCTTGATGTTAGTGTTTGGGGGGAGTTCTGGTCTTAAAGGTTTCAGCATTTCTCTGTTACATGGAAGATGGTGTTTTTCTGCTAGTTCAGTGGCTGTGTCAACTATTGATCTTCCATGAATCCGTTTCTTTGGTCATCTCTGTTCAATTAATTTCCTGTTTGGGTGGTTTTTCTCTACTCTTTTGTAGCGCTCACTCATCTCCACTACTACTGCCTCTCTCCGCAAGTCCAAGGGTTCCAGGTTCGTATGGATTTCACAAGCTGCAGTTGGAGTGGATCTCAAAGCTCCGGAGATAAATCGTACAGCTTGATTTTGAATTTTGTCAAGAGACCTCTGAGTTGGTTTGCTGCAGATTGTCTGTAAGGTTAGGTCATATTCCATGGCAGAGCGTACATAGCCAACATATATGCAGTTTACAAAAGTTATGTTTTGAGTGGTAACAATTGCTTTGGTCTCATCTTATTCCCTGTTGATGATTGTATTATAAGTACTTTTCTGGCTTAGACCACATGACCTGTTTATGAATTATATTTTCTTATCTTCCAGACATCCTTACACAAACTTGTGTCACTGAAAAAGCTTTACTTAAATGGGAATCAGTTGGACTTTGAGGGCATACCACCCAACATCGGCAAGCTGCATGAACTGGAAGTGTTTAGCGCTTCCAAGAACAGTCTGGAGATGATCCCTGAAGGACTGGGAAGGTAGTCTTTCTGTTACGGTAAAACACACACACACATATCATGACAATCACAGTCTGCTGTTCACTGTTCCTATAAGACGTGACAGCAACCCCATCCTGTCAGGACATTGTGCACAAGATCCAGGTCAAAATGAGAGGGGGGCGGGGGGATATGACAGCCAACGCTATACTTTTCCCTCTTGATCTTAGCTCCTTGTTGCTGTTTTTATTTTTTCTAGGTTTTTTTCTTTCTCAAGATAGTACTGAAATGTATGTATATAAACCTTATTGTTGATAAATATAGGTTATTTACATAATACAAGTAGTTGAGTAAGCACCCAATTTTAGCTAAAATTATAAAAATTGTCTAAACAATGCAAAGTTGTTATTTATGGGGTCATTATTTATATTAAAATTTTCATTCAATTTCTATTTAAAGATGTGGCAAACTGAAGAAGCTGATACTGAACGACAACAAACTGATCACTCTTCCCGACATCCTTCATTTACTGCCGGAGCTGTCGGTATGTATTGTTTGTATGTAGACTTTGCCCTTGCCCCATACCACTATATTTTCTCCTTGTTTTTCAGTGTTTCTGGGACTCTTTTGCTAACTTGACAACTAGGACAAGTACTGTATGTACTGAAAACTTTTTGGCCAAAAATTCTGCCTCAAAATCAGGGGCGCCAGTGAAATGAAACTAGGTTTCCATTTCTCTGTCTAGCTCTTTCCCAACACTAAAGGGCCATTATTATGTTCTCAGACAGACAGAAAAACAATCTTGTTTCTCAGACATTCGTTGTTCTTCTCTCTCCTCCTTTTTTGCGTTTGTTACTTTTGTAACACCTAAAATCCTCAGCTTTTATGTGACTTAATTATTGTGTTGCAAGTGCCATACAACTCTTTTTTTTTCTTTTTTTAAACACCTCTCTCCAGACACTGGATGTGCGCAACAATCCCGATCTAGTGATGCCTCCCAAGCCACAGGAAGCCAAGAGTGCCTTAGAGTACTACAACGTTGACTTCTCCCTCAACACCCAGCTCCGATTGGCTGGTGCGCAACCCGTGCCCAACACTGGACAGACACCGTGTATGTTGTCTTTTTGTACATAAAGAAGAAATATTTTCATCTGGTTTTATATGATGGCAGATATGAACTTACTCACGACTTTCCTTATCTTTTTTTTTGGTATGCTTTGGTCCAGGTCATTGTGTCTGTTTTTAGAGGTGTTTGTTGTGTTGTTGTGTTTTTATTTGACTGTTTACATTTCTGTGTTTAATGACAGAGAACTGTTGGAGTGTGGTGGAGCAGAGTGATGGGAAAGTAAGAATTTAAAATAGTGTTGGAAAACTTGTTTAAGCTGTTGAGCCAGCACTTTGATGATATTTCATTTTGGTTTTTATTGCTCGTGACATGATTGACTATCTTGAACAAAATACACATGGGTAACAGCAAAAGTCCAGAATTTTAACAAATGTTATTTAGATGTTTTGGCTGTGAAAAGCCTGTCATTCACAATTTTATGCTTGGGCTATAAGTTTTAAAGAGGGTTTTGATTGCAAGCTTATTTCTTAATGTGTATTTGAGTTTTAGATAATGTTTTGATTTTAAGATTATTTATGCATGTCCATTTTGGCTCCTAAAGGATTTTGATTGTTAGGTAATTTTGGAATGTCAATTTCAATTCTAGAAAATGGTTTTATTTATGATAAGTTTATATTGAAACATCTTTTTAAACTTCACAAAAACATTTTGATTTTAAGTTTATTTTGGAATGTCTATTTTAGCTCAAGAAAAGGATTTTGGTGATAAGTTTATTTTGGAATGTCTGTTTCAGCTCCAAAAAGTGACCCTGTGGCCAGGAAGTTGAGACTACGGCGGCGCAGAGATGGGCAGGAGAGTGAGAAAGTTTTGAAAGTGAGTTCTCCTTGAACCCTGAGGCTCATGTTTACATTTAAGGATGGTTGTGCCGTTTTGTTTGAATTTATTTTCTAAATGTTGAAATTTCTACTAGTGTATTGGTTCAATGCAGTACATAAAAAAGAAAAATTATCATCTGGTTTTATTTGATGGCTGATATGAACTTACTCACGACTTTCCTTGTCTTTTTTTTGTATGCTTTGGTCCAGGTAATTGTGTCTGTTTTTAGAGGTGTTTGTTGTGTCTCTTTAACTGATAGATATTGAGAGGTATTTCTATTTACCATATTTACAAGGTTTTAGAAGTAGTGTGGTCTGCACCTTATGCTTCATTGTCAGTAAAATTATTAACATAATCTATTTCCATTGGGGGGGGGGGGGGGGTTGGAAACCGCAATCAAAAGCTTAGAAACTTCTTTGCTCACACTGTCGTTTTCTGTCTCAGTGTCTTGCTTTTTTAAAAGGGTTATGTGATGGCTGAACAGGCTATGAATAAATTCTTTAAACATGAGTCAAGGGCAGTTGCATTTTTTACGGCCTTTTCTTTGACTCAAATAATTTATGGTCTGTTTCTTGGCATAGGGGGGGGGGGTTAAACCCACTATGCCAAGGCCCTTTTTTGGTACTAAATCTAAAAATGACAAAAACGTCTCTAAATTGGTCATTAAATCAAAACAATTGAACCTATTTTCATAGTTCTTCATCTAATGAATGAAATCTCAGTATAGAGACCTGTTTTTAGCCATTGCTGAAAAGGGATTTGGCATCGCAGTCGTTGTTAAGAAATGTGCCTGAGGCCTGCAACTCACGGGCACAGTGGTTCCGACTGCAAGCCGCTGGGAGCAGCTTGCCGGCGGTAAGGAGTTAATGAAAATTCAGCATCTTCTTGTTGCCTTTGTAAGGAGGTATAGACTTTTTACTCTGTTCTAGTAAAGTCTATTTTTATGAATGTGTTGAACATTGCTTTTCTTTGTTTTACCTCTCAGGGAATGAGAGATGTAGCCAAAGACAAAGCTGAAGGGAAAGACGGGTCATTGGATGACGATGGGAGAGAGCCTCTTAAGTAAGAGTTCGGATTGAATTTGTTTCCATGCTGTCTCTCTAATTTTATCTGATGCTATATTTGAGAGATTGGGACTCAGAGAATTGATTTAAAATGAAAATGCTTTCCATTATCATGTTAAATGTAAAAGGTGGGGCAGCGTGGTGAAATCAGGCACTTGTCAAAATACAGAAATTGGAGAAACAGGCATTTTTCTGGCAGTGGGGACATTTTTATCAAATTTTTGTTTTTGAGTCAACTTCTTTTATGTCCATGTAAAAACACATTTCCATCTGAATTGAACCGAAAAACATTGATTAAAGGCTCAAAAATTGTCATTTTTCTGTTCTCACGGACTCTTTGGCTATTGGAGTCACCAAACTTTGGTGGCCATTTCCTAGCTAATTTCAACACGTAAACCAGGTGGCCTCACGTCCTTCAATCGCAAATATCTCGAGGTCTTTCAAGATAGATGGATATCTATTTCATTGAAAGCAAGGCAAATAAATCAGCTGTCAGATGATAGCAATGACTCCACATGCTGATAAACTGACGAGTGCCTGATTGCACCACGTCATAACACTAATGTTGATTTTGTCTGGTAGACCATTGGGAGTATTTGGTCCCAACATGATAGATATGATTCAATGAAAGAATAGATAAAAGTGTGATTTGCCTTTGAATTGTAAATGAATAAAATAAACTTGATTTCAGAATTACATGCAAAAAGTGGTAGGTGGTTGGGAAGGGATGAGAGTTCTAGCTGAATTTATGTGAAAACTTGGGTACTGTTGCTTTTATATGATTTTACTTTTTTGTGACTGAGAAAGGCTGTGGTCAATGTTGGGAAAACATAAAAGTTAAATAGCTATCATTATAACTGGCTTCTTGTGACTTCCTCAGGCCAAAGAGATGGGATGAGAACCTGCAGCGCCCCCAGTTGGACTACAGTGAAATCTTTTATGAGGACATTGGTCAAATCCCAGGTGAGAGAGACAGGCGGAATAGAGAAAGTGTTAGAGGGACAGTATATTGGAGAAAGATAGGGGTAAATTGAATGAGGCAGGGAAAGAGAGAAGAGTGAAAAGGGGGAGGGGAGGAGATGGGGGAGATAGAGAGTGCGAGACATACTACCTTTGAGACAGATGGACAGAAAGACAGACAAAGAAATAAACGTATTTACAGCTTTTAAGGTAAGGATATAGAAAATCCGTGGAAGCGGGAGAGAAACTCTGGGTTCAACTTGATGAATATTTGGAACAAATTTAACAGTTAACTCACTGCCTATCGGTGCCTCATATGACGTGGTCATAGTACTGTTTCCCCTGACTACCTTTGTTGCAGCCCCTGCGGTCTTTAGTTCAGAGGGGGAAGGGGGGGGGGGTTGTTTTTACCACAGCATATTCGGTGTGGGTACTGCTTTTAGAAACAACAGCCACTTCCGCACTGAAGGAGCAGGGAAAGGGTAGAAATGCACTTCTGGTGCTCCAAGTGCCAATTGCTGTTGTGCATAGGACAATGTTTACGTGTTTATCACTCGAAGGAACTGGCTGTAACTAACTGTGACAATTGGACAGACTGTTGCCATCCCTGATCCTTTTTGTGTTCTCTATGGGTATGTGCCACAAACCATAGGAAACAAACATTTTAGTTGCATACAATTCACATTTGATTTGTTTTCCTGGTCCCAATTTGAGGTCCAATCATGGTCCTTGCGGCAATTTCCAGACTTATTTTTGTTGTTTTCTGAAAATTAGGTGAAAGAAGGAAATTGTATTCTGTCTTTTGTCTTACAATCGTTTTTATGTCCATAATAAGTGTGCAAAATTTTGTAACTTTATGTCTGTTAGTTTTATCACAGTGATCGTTTTGAAAACACATTGATGTGGGTGGTTGATGGGTGCTCTGGTGTGGTTTGCTCTTTTTTCCAATCAAACATTTATCTTCCTTATCTTTCCTCCTTTTTTGTGTTTGTTACTCTCTTGTAACACCTCTAATCTTCGACACTTATATGACCTTATTGTGTTGCAAGTGCCGTAAAACACTTACTAAAACTAAAACACATTGAAGTAGCAGGTACACTGGGTACATCAAAGACAAATATGGCGTGTGGCTACTGAGTTGAGGCAGGCATGAAGTGTGATGGACAGAAACATCAGCTGTGATGAATTCTTTTGCCTTGTTGCCCCCCCCCCCCCCCCCCCCCCCCCCCCCTTGTGCTTTCATTAGCTCGTCCTTGCGGATAATTGACCATAGATTCTTCAGTTGGCTTGGCAACTGATCTATATATATATATAACTGCAATTTTGCTACAAGAGCATAGTGCCCATCACCATTCAAGTATGCTGTTTTTAATGGTACCTTTTTAAAAAACGTTTTTATTTTTTTCTAGGAAGGGGTTAATTTTTGCCGCAAAAGGCTTGCTCTTCTTTAGCGTTCAAATGCAGAAGTCTTTAATGCCCTTAGAGTGCTACATATGGCATTCAATTTTTGTTGTTGGGTTATTGTTGGTTTTTTGGGTTTATTTTCATGACAATTAGTTCTTGGTCCCACTAACCATAAGGTAATGGGTGTTGAGAATTTGAAAAAAAAACAACCCAACGTTTCCCCTGACCATGCCTGTCCATACATGGGATCGAACTCAGTACTTTAGCCCTCACAGCAAACACTTCAGCTCAGCCTACTTGCACTCTTTGCATTATTTTAATTTTTATGTTTGGGGTGACAGGATGAGGCTGTAATGTGAATGTTGTTACTTGAACATAAAATAATGTTAAACACTAACCTTTTGGTTGCCTGCATTTACAGCAAAGGTTAGCCAAACCTGTTTCTCTCCGGATGGTGATCCTTTCCTCAGCGATGGGGCCCCGATGCGTTGGAATCTCACATATAACACAGAAATAAACCGAGGCTCTTACTAGCCATTTCCCCTTTTCTCCACCCGAAATCTCCGCAGGCCTCCTCTGCCTTGCTACAGCTCTCCCCTCTAAAGTCTGATCTGTGGAAATCCAGACTGCTTTTATGCACTTGCACCAAACAATACAACTGAACTGAGACTCACACTTTACCCACTCACTCTCTCTGCTTTACACACTTTCAGCCAAACAATACAATAGGCTAGGCCTAACCCCCTTGCCACTGACCAACGCGCCAGATTGCAAATGAAACAACCAAATAGACCACAGTGAATGGTGTGGTTTATTTTTACTTTGTCTTGTTGAAGTTATTTGAAGCTGGTTCCGTAGAGTTCTCATGATGTTGGTACAGCGTGTTGCAGAATACAAATATAATGTTAAACAGTTTTTTTCAGATATCAAGATTTTAATGTTTGTGTAATACACGACAATTTTTTTTTATTAACAGTAAAACCCTGCACTTTGCAGAAATTGTAATATGATGTGAAATATTCAAGAACAAAAAAACAAAAAAAAACCTAATTCAGTATTGTATTGCTTTCTCAGGACTGACATGCTGGGAGATTGAGAACTTTTTGCCCAATCAAGTGGAAGAAGGTACGTGAGGACTTGTTCTGTAGGGGCAGCCACTTCATTTCTTATTCATAGTAAAAGCTCAAGTTGAGAAGATAGTGAAAGCCCGGGTTGTACTTCAGCTGTGGCTTGTAGATAATGTGGAGATACTGTGATTATTCTTTACCTTAAAGTTCAAGTTTGCTGTATTTGAGGGAAAAACAAACATCCAATCTGTAACTTCAAAATATTAATATGTAAGAGAAGAACATGGAAGCATTAAAGGAGTGTCAATTCTTTCTTTAGTTTTGTGTGGGGAAAAAAACAAACTAAGAAAAACAAGAAAGACAAACAGAAATTATTGAAAGATCGAAAAGAAGTGGAGACTCAAAAGATAGGTTGATTTACATTTCAATACTTACATGAATGGCCAATTTGTTAATATAATCTGTGCAGAAATTTTGCAGCTGACAAGTTGCTATTTAAATGCTAACCCAATAATGGGAACAATTCTTTATTGAGGCTTGCAATGTCTTGTTTGTCCAGGTCTGATTGGCAAGTTCTACGAAGGCGACTGCTATATCATCCTGCAGACCTTCATAGATGAGTCCAACAGCCTGAGCTGGAAGATCTGGTACTGGATAGGGGAGAGTGCCACAGTGAGTGAAGGATGCTCTGCCCTGTCCTGTGTCACTAATCAGTCTGTTGTTTGTTACTGGGTTCGGGTTCTCAGTTTAAATAACCTCTCAATGAAAACTTTATTGTAGATCGGTCATTTTGTCGGAGAGTTACGATTCCCTCCCCTGTCATTTCTAATGGTTTTCCATCAGAAGGATTATTTTGTGGTATATAGACCTGCGTGTTTGCCGACAATCGTCTGAAATCCGACAATCGCGACCCGACCTGCGAGCCGGCCGATGCTATCACTCGGCCCACTTGTATCAGTCAATGTGCGAAGTGCGAGGCCTGGCCGACTGCCAGCGCCCCCTTTTTCTCCCTTCGGCTTTGTCGGCACTTTCGTTTTCGTGCCGACGTCGGCGTTTCCGACATAATTGTCGGAACCCAGGTAGAAATGCGAATACGAAAAAGGATGATGACCTTAATTATCTACTTTCAGTTTCGTGCTCGAGCGGCCATTTTGAATTTCGTTTGGTGACAAATTCAATTGTTCAGATCATGTGGATTCATTCAAGTCCGATTCACTTGTTCTGGATCTAGATCTAGATCTAGATCTAGATCTAGTTCAAGGCCTATTCCTATTCACTTGTTCTACAAGATCTCGATCTAAAATCTAGATCTAGATTTATTTAGATATCTAGATCTAGATCTATATGGAGGATTCATTCCAATTCTATTGATAATTGTGTTATTGTATCAAACCCTATTATACTATACTATATAGTCTAGATCTAGCAATGTAGATGTAGGTCTAGGCCATACTAATGCATGCTCCTTGTTTGTTTTGGTGTGTGGTTTTTTTAATTTTTTAATTTTGGACTTGTGCTGGCCTTTTTACATGAGGCCCGTTGCAGGTTCTTTTTAGGGGTATGCCTAGGGTTAGGTCTCTTCTTTATTGTGTTTGTTGGGGTGGTTGCTCGTTACTCGGAAGCCCTTCCTTATGACACCCACGAAAGCTCTTATTGGGGGGGGTGCGCAAAATTTTCAGACAATCTGGTTGAGGCTCACATGCAGGTCTAGGTATAGAAGAGAAGAGATTTTGGGCTGGAATGGGTGGAGAGAAAAGACAGATGATTTTATGAGGATTATCGCAGGGAGAAAGTTGGTGAAAGTTTGCTTGTTGTTTTCAGTTCACCATCTCATTGGCTCTTTTGCCTCTGTTCAAAAGAAAAGTAGAATAGAATAGATAAAGGTGTGCTCCCTTTGGTGAATGAAACATGACAGTGAAGTTATGTGGAGTAGGATACTTCTCAAGACAATAGCCATTTCATTATTCTATCTTGGATCAACTTGGTTGATTGCAGTGCTGACATTTTGTAAGGTGTTTGAGCTCAGAATAAGCTTTTTGTTAGCAAAGACTACGACTTAGAGTTTTGCTATATATGCATTGAATCAGGTTGTGATCTTAGTCCGCTGTGCCATTGTTTAAGGTTTTGAGCTTCAATTGAATTTGAGTCATTTTTTCCTTTCCCTTACTGGAATACTTCCTCCCTACCCAATTCTCGTCTTTAGAAATTAGCCATCATTATGATATTAAAAAAACAAAGGAAGATGTTCTATTGTAATAAATGATTGTCTTAGATTGTCTAGTGGGCCAATAAAGCAAGTTTGATCTAGATTCAATGACTTCAAACAACATCAGAACAGCTGGTTAGGTCTTGCTCGTTGTTCTCACACACTGTCTCCTGCTTTACCGAAGGTCTGACATGTCCCCACAGCTTGACAAGAAAGCCTGCTCGGCTATTCACGCTGTGAACCTTCGCAACCTGTTAGGTGCTGACTGCAGGACCATCCGCCAAGAGATGAATGATGAAGACGATGAGTTTCTGGCCTTGTTTGAAACAGGCGTCTCGTATATCGAGGGTGGCCGCACCTCAAGCGGGTTTTACACAGTTGAAGATGTGGTGAGTAAACTTTAAAATGATTTGTCAAGTAGTGTTGGTGTTTGTAGAGCGGAACCTTCCCTCTTTTACACCTCTAATCTTCAGCACCTATATGACGTAATTGTGTTTCAAGTGTCGTAAAATGCTTATTAAAACAAAAGACCTAAAACGAGGCAGTTATCCCTATTAATATCAGAATACATATTGTATATGGGGGCATAAGTAGGTAATTTACAGTCATTCTATTGTGCAGGTGTTTGCCATGTTTTGTTTGGATACTCCCTTTGTGGTATTCAAATTGTTATTGCCCTTGTTTCCCCTCAGGAGCCTGAACAGCGCTTATACAGAGCCACAGGGACCCTCTCGGTTCACATGGAGCGGGTGAGTGGGTTTTTATGAGGAGCTGTGGGAGAGAATAAATGTGTCCCGACACAGTAGAATCAGGCGCTTGTCAATTTTTGGGCATGTGGAGTTATTGGTATAATCTGAAAGCTGATTTATTTGCCTTGTTCCAATTAAATAAATATCCATTTATCTTGAACAGAACTCAAGACATTTGCGATTGAAGGAAGTGAGGTCACCTGGTTTCAGTGGTGAAGTTAGCGGGGAAATGGCAGCCAAAGTTTGGTAACTCAATAGCTAAAGAACCCCTGAAAACAGAAAAATGACATATTTTGTGCCTTTAACTCACTTGCGACTGGGCCCTTTCACCAGTCACAAGCGTTGAAGACTGGCGTTTTTGGGGGTATTTCAATAAATCACAACAACTCTCAGAATTACCCTATTGTAATTATTTTTTGACACAGTAAAGTAACATTCAAGCTTAATCTAATACAAAAAACTAAAGTTGTCTAAGTCTAATACTTTAATTTGTATGATTTTTTAAAAATTGGCATGAATTTGATTTTCCGAAAAATTTCCAGAGACGTGACAAGTAGAATGAAATTCACTACAACAACAAAAATAGAAGTTCAAAGTGTTCTGGTTTGATTTGTATCCATGTGCGAGTGTTTGGTGAAAATATAAAAGCTGGTCTGTGCATTGATTCAGACCCATACACTATATTGCATGAGACAGATGTACGGCACGACGTTGTGATTTCGTTGCGCGAAAAACAACACCAGTACTAGTGCTAGATCTAGCCCTAGAACTACGACTCGGGCCGTGTTCGGGTACATATCCAGGATCCTAACTATTAGACACGTCATATTCTGAGACACTAGAACTAGTAAAACGTACAGAAGTATAGAAAACAGCGAAATTATGGGATTCTTGTTCATGCGACTTCTTCGACCGTTACTACGACGTGACTGTCGGATTACTATCAGCTATATAGAAAAAAACAAAGCGTAAGTTCCGGTCTGTTCAACCCCAGTTGGGGTCACTGTCCTTCACCTTCAATAACTTAAAAACTACCGGCCCCAGAGATACGAAACGAAGTCTAAGTAGCTCAGGCTTGGCCAAACAAGGGTACGAGGCGGGTCTCGAGATCCATGCGTGATTTGTAGAGCGAAAAAAATATTCCAAAGTTGGTCACGCAGGGCTTGTGGGAGCCGTCGCGAGCGTCGCGGCGGGGGTCACGCAACTGTTGTGTGAACCGTCTGAAGTGAGTTAATCAATGTTTTTCAGTAAAATTGACATGGAAATGTGTTTTTATATTGACGTAAAAGAGGTTGAGCCAAAAAATAAAAATTCAATAAAAATTTCCAAACTAGCGGAAAAATGCCTGTTTCTCCAATTTCTGTATTTTGACGAGCGCCTGATTTCACCAGACTGCCTCTTGTGATGATTTCTCTTTTATAAAACTTACATCATAATAATAATAATAGATAGCATTTGTATAGTGCAAATTCCCGCTCAACAGCAAGCTTTGTGCGCTTCTCAATCTATCCTATTACCCCAGCAGACCTGAGAGCATTCTGAAACAAACTCAACTTCCTGGGAAGCATACAGTGCAAGCAGCCATTTATAGGCGCTAAAACACTGACATTCTGACAAGATCTTTCGCTGTATATGGCCGGGTACACGTTCCCACCCAGGTGAAGTGAGGAAAATTGGTGTAAAGTGCCTTTCCCACCGACGCCACAAGTCTGGCGGGTGGTTTGGGGATGCTCTGGTGTGGTTTTCTCCTTCTTTCCTCTCAAGCATCTATCTCCCTCTTCCTCTTTTCTTTGCAGGTTACTGTGTAGTAACACCTCTAATCTTCAGCACTTATGTCACCTATTGGTGTTACAAATACAAGTGCTATAAAACACTAATTAAAACTAAAAACTTGCGTCTGGGAAATCTTTGCTGAGGTCGAAGCATAATGGTTCCTGCTACAGCACTTTCACCATGTTAACTCACTGACTGCCGTTACCGGAGCGTATGCGGGATGAGTTTACGTAATAAAATTTCCGAACCCGGAGGTCCTCCGGCATGGACTTTATAATTTTACTCTATATTCATCCCGGACCGCAACCGGGTCTGGCAGTTTACAGCAGTTAGGGAAGCCATTTCGACGAGATAAATTACTAGAGTTATCTGCCTTACGCGTTCGATTTTTTTTTTGGTGATTTTTTTCAACAAGAGACCTCTGTTGTGATTTCACTACACTACTACATTAGCGGACGAAAGTGACGATGAGCCGTTTCATGGTGTTCGATCAGACATTGAAATAGGTGAATTAGATGTTGATAGCGATGCTGGCCCATCATTTTTTTTCGGGAAGGTAAAAGAAGGCAAAGATTACCCGATTCTAGTGCTAGATGTATTGTGTAGTGCGCCAGGATCTAGTCCTAGATCAAGATCTAGATCTACTTAGAGATGAAGTACAAGATCTAGATCTAGATCTAGATGTAGTAGTGACTCTGTGTCCACTGATAGTGAATCAGACTTAGATATTGATCAGCCAAGTACAAGTAAGAAGGCTGCAAAGAGGTCTAGACCTCGAAAAAAATTAAAACTGCACAGGGAACACAGGGAAGAGATACTAGATCTAGGCCTACAATTCACAACGGTAGTGATATGTCGGCTAGCGCACTTCAGAGACTCCCATACAAAGAACTATCTATCATATCTAAGGTAAACTATAACAAAAGCGGTGTTGTATCTATCTGTTGTGTTTGTTTGATTGTTATTTGTGTCAAAAACAACATAAATCAACACAACTAGCCTAAACAAACAACAATGAACAACGACATGTTGATTTCACATTGGGGTTTTTTGGGTCAAATATTGACCATTTTTCAGAAAATCGTTTTAATTAAAAAAACTATTTCATATATTGAGAAGATATGTGGCATGAGTAAACTAAAGCATGTAAATGCACAGCACACAAAATTTCAGATCTCAAAGTACAATAGTTTTTGAGTTACGATTTTTTGAAAACACTCTAAAAACCCCAGCAGTCCACAGCTGTTGAGGCTCCACGGGCCTGGCAGTCAGTGAGTTAATGTTTTCACTACCTTCAGATCTTTTTCGGATGAGATGTGCAAGTATTTTCTTAATTTTTGATAGACCTGTTCTTTTTTCTGTTACCTTCTTCTTTTTTCGGTATTTTGTTTTTAATCCAGACTTGGATCAGTATTTGTGTTTTAAGTAGTGGAATGTTAGTTTCAGGTTTCTGTTGCCCTTTTTGTGTCTTGTTTTCCCCCTGCCTGCAATAACATTGCTTTGATGTGTTTCAGTGTCCTGTTCTGGTAGATCTGTTGGATTTGCGGCACGTGTTTCTGCTGGACGCTGGTCAGAAGCTGTTCATCTGGAATGGGAAAAAATCAAATCTAGTCACTCGCACCAAGACAAGGTAAAGAGAGGTTTATGTTGTCTGAAACAATGTATGCACATTTTATTTGACAACTAGTCTGCAGATTCTTATTTTTTTCTTTGTTTGAGGGTGTGGTTAAATTGATTTTTTAAATGTTGAAGATGTATCCCCCTTCTCTTTCTGTTAAAGATGCTCCTTGTTTTGGGAAAAATGTACTTTTATTGCCTGATGTACGGAATACATCATGAAATCTGTCATAGTTGTTTCTAGATAAATTTCATCATCAGGTTAAGTTGTTGTATTTTTTTTCTTCTCATTTATTAAATGTTTTTGCTATAAAATGTACTTTTGTGCTGTTTTCAGTTGTAACCTGTGTCTTTTGTATGTGATCATCAGTTTTTTCCAACATTGCCTACTGGTAAATATTTGTTAATCCTTTTATTCTTTGTAAAGTTTCACAAAATAGACAGCTAAAATGCTTGACCGTCTGTCTGGCCATTGGTGAAATTTTGTAATTTCTGTCTGTTCAGGTTAATTGCTGAAAAGATCAACAAGAACGAGAGAAAGGGCTCTGCAGAAATCTTCCAGTTTGCCCAGGGCAAAGAGACGGGAGAGTTCTGGAGATTGATAGGAGGACCACCGGTCAATTTGGAAGTCACTGTGAGTCATAGCTCTACAGTGTAATTCTATGTTTCCCCTGTGCGTGTTTTTATCAGATCTTTTCTTTTCTATCTGTTGGTGTAGAAAAAAAGATGGTTTTATGCCAGCTTGAAGTTTTAGTACTTGTTTTCAGCCTTGTGTCTCTTTTGGTGTTTTAGTACTTGTTTTCAGCCTTGTGTCTCTTTTGGTGGAGACTTCACATGACTTTGATATCACTGCCTTCGCCGACCCTCTCCTTTTAATTATCAATATCAGTTCCCTGGGTGCAAACATTGAGATAGTGGGTTGTTAGCGGGTGCCCTGGTGTGGTTTGCTCCTTCTTTCTTATCAAACATCTATCGTCCTGATCTTTCTTCCTTCTTATTTTTGTTTGTTACTATCTTGTAACACCTCTAATCTTCGGCACTTATATGACCTTATTGTACTGCATGTGCCGCAAATCTCTTACTAAAACAAAATACATTGAGATGGCACATTACTCACTATAACGATAGCGGTTGCATGATTGTGTCTACTGATTTGCAGTTGGTTGAATGGTAGTTTTCTTTTCACAAGGATAGAAATTCCAATTGGGCCGAGCTACGGATTTAACAGAAGACCTTTCGCTTGTGATTCTTACATTGTGACCACTAGACTAGGACAGACTTTATTCTGTTTGGGGTTTTTTGCCCTCGTCCTTTTTCATAGAATGTGCTGAATATCTTGCAAACCTTTACTTCATTCAATTTTTAAAAGTGAATGCTTAGCGCAAATTGACAAACTCATCCGTAACTAGCTTCGAATTTTATAAAAGATTGAATTGTCAAAGTGATAGTTTGCCCCACTTGTTAAGTTTATCTTTAGTACTGTGAGACTTGTTTGTGCTTAAGGCTGTTTCTGTCACTGCCTGGTATTCTTAATTATTTGGACTTTTTGGGGGGGTTTGTTTTCTTTCCATCTCCTGAATTGAGTTTTTGACCATTTTCGTCTTGTCTCCTTATGCTGGTTTAATGTAGATTTTGATTACTGTAGGCATCCTTTTTGTTTGACATTTATTTATGGTAGGCGCTCTCTTCTTTGTGTTGCACTTGTCCTTCTGCCTTCTGTTTCTATCTACGTAAGGCTGTTATTCATGGTTGTTGTCATTTTGTTTTCTTATAATTCTGCAAACCGCATGTAAAAAAAAAAGATTAATTTATTTGTGTGTGTGTGTGTGTGTGTGTGTGTGTGTGTGTGTGTGTGTGTGTGTGTGTGTGTGTGTGTGTGTGTGTGTGTGTGTGTGTGTGTGTGTGTGTGTGTATGTGCTCTCTCTGAAGAGAATATCGGTGACAGATTGATATAGTACATGACACACACAGTGAAAACCCAGAGTTTGTGTTCAAGTGGGAGATTTGCCTACGCTATCTTACGCAACTGTCGCTTTTAGGTTGGAAGAAAGTATTTTATTTGAAACATCTATGCTGTGCTAGAACAGGTGCCAGAGTCATTTAGTCAATATCAGCAGTAATTTGTTATTGAAAAGTCCCAAAACAAGACACTTCAAAGCTTCTATGCTTTTGTTTTCCTGCCCCCTCACAGATATCCGCTCAGTCAGACATTCCCTTGGCCAATCCTAGACTGTACCGCGTGGGTCTTGGCAAAGGGTACTTGGAACTTCCTCAAGGTGAGTTGATTTCAGATTTCTCCATGTATAATAAACTTTTGTTGTGTTAGAGATCTCAGTTCCCATTTTTCGGCTGCTGCTTGCCTTTTCTCTTTCTTATCATCTTTTTTATCTTTTCGTGATTTTTCAGCACTCAATTTCTGTGCCATATATGAGGTATGCCCAGTGTTTTATTTGACTAAAATTCTTACAATGTTTGAGGTACCAGCGGCCTTTGATTGTATATAGTCAAGTCTAACGTAGCTGTCATCTTTACTTTTATAGCTGGGAGGGTTGCTCGTAAATGTTTCTTTTGCAGGGTGGAAAGATGACATGTACTTCTCAGTGGTAGGAGTGGGTCATGGTGAATGCTGATAGGTACATACGGCACACGCTGGAGAGATATCAAACATTGTTGATTGCTTGTACTGTTACAATTTTCCAGACTTTCCACTGATACAAGAAGGGAAAGGGTTTCTTTATGATGCCTCATTCCCTGGGTTGCTCGAGTTTTCTTTTGGGATGTAAATCTGATTATCAGTGATTTTGTTTACAATGTCAGCCATTCTATAATGTTGCGGTTATTTATTTCAGTTCACATCCCTAAGAACCGCTTGGTAAACTCTCTGCTGGACACCAAGTGTGTGTACATCCTTGACTGCATCACTGATGTCTTTGTGTGGTGAGTGCTTCCAGCTCAGGGTTAGATTTTCTGCAAGCTTTTGTTAAATGAGAAACATTATGCATTGGATTACTCTTAACATGTTGAATTGAAAGGATTAAAGTCAATCGTCAAGGTTGAAGGCTGTCACGACACATTCTTCCTTAGGTCATGTAAATAGATTTGTGCAAGGGTTCCAGTTTTTGGGTATATGTGTGTTTATTTGCGTACGTGAGAGACAAGAAGAGAAGAAAGAGGTAGAGGGTAAAAGAGAAGAGAGAGGAGGAAAGGAAAAAGATCAGTTGTATTATGTCATATATTTTTTGTTGCTATTTGGATAAATAAGTGTATTTGTTCATGTAATCATTATTGTAAAGCACATTGAGTATTTACTTAATGTGATCCATTGCTTTTTGTTTTTTGGTAATTACCAAACCTGTCTGGTAAGTGGAGTCATGGTTTCTGATGACCCACTTGCTTTTCTTCTGAGTTCATAAAAATAAAAGTGTTAGTTTTAATTGCATTGTAGAACAGCTCACCAGGTAGTATTTTCATTGTTCCATACATTTTTCTGATTGTCTTTTTCTAAAAGACTGATTGAACCCTCATAAAAATATTATGGTGTCGGTGGTCTAGTGGGCCTAATGTTATGTAATTTGGAAAGGATCTTTACAAAAATGTTCGTTGCTTCAGCCAGGTGGGAATGGGTACCCAACTATTGACAGCTAAACAATTTGTCAGTTTGTTAATATTTGAGCACTAAATCAGCTGTTTTCTGGGGAGCTGAGAATGTTTCAAAGTGTTCCAGGGTCTGCAGGGGTAATAATCAACACCATACATGAGCTTGTCGTAAAGCATTTCTACTCATGTATTATTGTGTTGATTGTAAGGGGCAAAGAGCTTGTTCTCATCAGGGATATTTGGTATACAAATGCCATTTTTTAATACTGTTTTGACTGAATGTTCTACCCAGGATTGGCAAGAAGTCCACACGTCTGGTGCGGGCTGCTGCATTGAAACTTTCCCAGGAACTCCATGACATGATCTGCCGACCTGAGTATGTGACCATCTACCGGTGCTTGGAGGGGTAAGTTACACTCATTCGTACTATCGCAAGTATGCTTACACATATATATATATATGTACTCACGTATGCACACACACGCATATATGTTCTCCCTCCATTCTCTCTCTCTCTCTCTCTCTCTCTCTCTCTCGCTCTCTCTCTCTCTCTCCCTCTCCCTCTCCCTCTCCCTCTCTCATTTGTACTATGGCAAGTGCGCTTACACATGTATATGTACTCACGTATGCACTCACATGCACACACACACATATGTGAGGCAGCGTGGGGAAATCAGGCGCTTTTCAAAATAACGAAAATAAAAAAAACTGGCAATTTTCTGCAGGTTTGGGAATTTTTGGTTTTTTTGGCTCAACACCTTTCATGCCCATTAAAGAACACATTTTTGTGTGGATGTTACTAAAAATTGTTGATTGAAGGCATAAAAGATGTAAATTTTCAGTTTCCACGGACTCTCAAGCTAAGGAAATAACTCAACTTTGGCGACTATTTTCTCGTTAATTTTATCTCTGGAACCAGGCGACCCCCACCTCCTTCAATAGCCTATATCTTGACTTGTATCCATGATAAACGGATATTTTTTCATCAAAAAGCAAGGCAAATTGAGAGGCTTTAAGGTCATACCAATAACTCCATATGCCTCAAAATTGACGAGCCCCTGATTCCACCACTCCGCATCGTGACACATATATGTTCTCTCTCTCTCTCTCTCTCTCTCTCTCTCTCTCTCTCTCTCTCTCTCTCTCTCTCTCTCTCTCTCTCTCTCTCTCTCTCTCTCTCCCTCCCTCTCTCCCTCCCTCCCTCCCTCCCTCCCCCTCTCTCTCTCTCTCTCTCTCTCTCTCTCTTTCCCTCTCCCTCTCCCTCTCTCTCTCTTTCCCTCTCCCTCTCCCTCTCCCTCTCCCTCTCCCTCTCCCTCTCCCAAACATACAAACACACACTCTCACACATACACAATGCAGACACACACAACGAACACACACACACACACACACACACACACACACACACACACACACACACACACACACACACACACACACACACACACACACACACACACGCACACACACACACACACACACACAGGCGAACATACACTTCCTTATGCACACTTGTCTCTAAGACAATGCAAGTAAAAAAAATCTGTCACTGTGTGAATGGAAAAAAGCTTGTCATAAAGCATTTCTCCACAGGCATTGTGTTTAATGTCAGATATTCTAAAAAGGCCGTCAGAAGCAGCACCAAAAAGAAGATACACTCTAGCACACACATGGCGAACATTCACATCGGGAAACATGTACTCAGCCAATAGATAGTCAGGTTCAGAAATTTTCTTATTCATGTAATTAGTTGTACTTAGTATTTTTAAATGCATACATAGCAAAATTCATACATTACAAAAAGATTTATGTGTCTTGCTGATTTGTCTATGTGTGTACCAGACTGTATAAAGAAAGCTTCACCCTTCCACCGACAGGGGCAAACAAATTTGGTTGAGTGTTTTCAGTTGTCCTTTATAAATTTTCTGCAACCTCACAGTTTTCTGAAGGCTGTCTATATTGTAATGTATTTGGATGGTTTCTTGTGATGTTTCAGCACAGAGCCTCAGATCTTCAAAACAAAGTTTGTTGGTTGGGACGATGTGCTTCCTGTTGACTACACGAGATCTGCTGAGTCCATACACAGACGAGGGGCTGACATGAAGGTATGTCCTTTGTTTGAATTTGCAACTGAAGTTGTTAAAATATTCGCCTTACTTCTAATAATGCAGTGATCGTTTTGCTGTAGCTATTACTGTGATTGTGATGGTAAACGTGATAAACTGGAATAGACATACCTGCCAACCGTACAGAAAAAATAGGTAGATCACCGACTTTTTGGTCAAACTACCGATCCACCGATTTTGAGAGATAAGCCTCCGACTTCGCGATTCAGCAGGGTGACTGCCAGTCCCCGGGAATTACCCTGGAATTTGAGAAATGTGAAAAAAAAAATGAACAGAACAGAAAGTTATAGTTATACAAGCGTCTTGACGGGCTTGCCATTGTGACCGGTCAATGAACTTGCGCGTTCCATCACATTGTGAGCACCGGCAATTGTAGGGGTCACCAAAGTTCATTTAAAGTCTGAGCGCTGCGTAGTATAGGACTCCAGAATGGGGGGGGGAGATTATTGATTTTTTAAAAGATACACTCGGGAGAGGAGGGGGGGGGGGGGGTTGAAGGCAACACCAGGGGACAAAAACTGAACTTGGAAGCAAATTATAGTATCCTAATTTTTTATTACTACTAGATCTAGAACTCTCTGCAAAACGCGTGTTGGTGCAGGCCTTGTGTGGACTCGGGATCTGTCCTACTCTTACCTTGTGAACTCCTCAAAGGCAAAGGGCTAAGGCTAGGCCTAAGTCATCCAAGGCCCACCTTTTCTTCTTTGCTTCTGTTTTTTTTTTTTGGGGGGGGGGTAGGAGTTTTTTTGGTTTCATTTGTGTGTGTGCGTGCAGGTATGAATAGGACAGGAACCGCACCAACTACTATATAGGGTAAATGCCTCTGGTAGTTTTCATATGTCTTTTTTTTGTTGTTGTTCTTTGTCATTTTCTACTTTTGTTTGAAGTCGCAAACACATTCATGCATATTTGATATGGGTCAAAATATTGATACGGGTCCCAAATTAAGTATGCGACAAGTGGTGATATAGCCTACTACAGATTTTTTAGGTCAACTACAGATTTTTGGACAAAAATTTGCGTCCAACTACAGATTTTGGCCCAGGCAATGTAAGCAGGTATGAATAAACTGTTTGGCCAAAGAATTTACAGCAGTTATTTGATCTTCGTTCGGTAATTGTACATGACTAAAGACTAGTTGTTTTTTTTAAACCATGAAAGTTCAAAATATAGGACAACTTTCTTCCTCTTACAGGTGATAATGGAGAAAGACAAACTTCAAACGGATCTGTCTGCGTTGTTCATGCCTCGACAGCCAGCCATGGTGGAGGAGGAAGCTGTGAGTGTTGACCACTGTCTTGTTGCTTTTCCACCTGTTGTGTTGATGGGTTTGCGACAAATGTTTTATCTTTGAGTACAATCATTGCAGCTGCTCAATACATTTCAAAGTACACTTCATAGATAGTCAGAAGATGCCACTGGTCTTACTTCTTTATAAATTTGTGTTTCTGTCTGTTGGTCTCACTTTTTGTCAACACTGAAACGCTGATGTACTTCTCTAAATTTAAAAAAAAGTATCTTTCCATTAAGTTAATGTTGAAAATTTGCATGGAGATATGTTAAGTATTGTATTTTGGTTTACTTTCCTTTTCTTGCAAGCTAAGGTACTGATCAAGTTCTAATTTATTCCTTTTTTATTGTTAGTAAAGACATTTGTTAGCTTAACGTAAATTATGTCCAAGGAGGCTAAAAAACATTTATAAACAGCTGATTAAGTGTGTCACTTTTTTTCTCTCTTATATTCAATTCAGGAACAACTTTCGGCGGACTGGAACGAGGACTTGGATGGCATGGAGTCTTTTGTGCTGGAAGGAAAGAAATTTGTCAGACTGCCAGATGATGAACTAGGTAGGTTTCTCTGGTTATGTTTTAGAGACGCCAATTTTCCATATAAATCCGGAAAATCCAGATACCTAATATTGTCAGGATTAAGCCTGACTTTTTTAATATAAGATTGGCTAAACAAAATGATCTATAAATTTTGTGTCCCGGCCTGTTTGTTTCACGGGGACTGAACGGTTCGAGATTTTTAATGGAATCCTGGCACCTCTGATGTTTGTGTTCCTGCACTATAATGCCGTTTTTGTGTAAATGTGCTTCTCTTTTCTCAAACTATGTCAGTTTGAAATGTGAGGACTTACACCGCTCTTTAAACTTTTCCATCAATGCAAGCTTATTTTTTTTTATTGGGTAGTTTGCTTGTTTACAAATGCTAATGACTGGAAGAATTTGAGTATATATGTGTGTGTGTTTCTTCAGTGTACTATGCACTTAGGCTAGTGCTCATAATTACAGTATCAGGAAGTCTAAGTGGGTGTGTATATTTGTGTGTGCAGATGTTTGTCTCTGAAACAGGGTACAAAAATGGCACGTTTCCAATGTTATGGTAATTGCATCCTTAAGTCTAGGTTTTATTTCTGTCACTGTACTTTCTTTCCCTCTTTCCAAATGCTTCTCTAACATATTGATGGCAGAGTGTGTTATTATTGGATGTAGCCCCTTACCCCTGAGGAATTATGACTGCAACGAGTAGATAATGAGCTACTCAGTCAATGTGTTTTGTAAAAAGTTATCCACCATATTTCAACACTGTGAGGGTGGTTGTAGTGCACCACAGGTAGATCCTACCTGTTTAGGATGCCTCTGTCGTTTCTGTCAGTTTCTTGTGGCTTTTACGCCAGAACCAAATGATACATATATCACTTTGATATTCATGATTCTTTGGGGGCACCATTAGCTCAGTTGGTATCATACTGGACTATGGTGGGTCATTGCATGTCAACCTCTGAGACAGAGATGATCCCTCAAGGTATCTGGGTATGGAGTGGATGGCCCTAGCTCGAATCCACTAAAAGTGCATTTTTTAACTTTGACTTTTTTTTTCTGGAGTGTCCAAGGCTTTCCGCCCACCTGGCTCCATGTTATAGGAATTGTGCTGCATGTTTTAACGATTGTAAAATTGCGCTGCACGTTTTGACGATCGTATAATTACGCGGCAATCTGAAGATTGCGTGAATACTTTATTTTTTTTTTTATGATTAAAGAAAAAAAAATTTACTTCCATCTTTATTCTTTTACTCACATCAAGGAACATTCACATACATTTTCAAAAGTGTAAAAATATCTGAAGAGCCCACAAGAATGATACAATGCTAGCTATCAAACTCAAAGTTCATTTCACTTCCATATTTATTATTTTACTCTCATCAAAGAACATTCACGTATATTTTCAAAAGTGTAAAAATATATGAAAATTAGAATTAAGATATAAATCTGAAGAGCTCACAAGTACAACCGCTCCATTATACGATCATTAAAATGTGCAAGATTGCGCTGATCGGTAAACTGCGTGGAACACATACAAATACAATGCTCCTGTACATTCTGGAAGGTTGGTGGTTGATGGGTGCCCTGGTGTAGTTTGCTAATTTTTTTCCTTTCAAACATCTGTCACTGTTAGCAGTCCTCCTCCTTTTCTATTAGCACCCTTTTTCTTCGGCACTTATATAACTTATTTGTGTTGCAAGTGCAGTGAGACTCTTTAATAAAATTGAATTGCTCCCCGATTCAGGTGTGTTCCATTCGGAGGACTGCTACGTGTTCCTGTGTCGTTACTGGATCCCTGTGGAGCTGGGTGAGGGTGAGGAGGAGCTGGAGGAGGAGGATCTGCCTGAGGACGAGTTCAAGTGTGTCGTCTACTTCTGGCAGGGCCGCGACGCTTCCAACATGGGCTGGCTCACTTTCACTTTCAGGTTCATTCTCACTTACTCTAATGATTTATTTCCGCTGTTCTGTGTAAGACTCTGTTAGTTTTGAGTTTAGTTTTAGTAAAGTCTTACGGCACTCGTGACTGCACAAGGTCATATGAGCACCGAGGGGTGGATGTCAACAGAGAAGTCCAAACGGGGAATCAGGTTTACTCTGCTCACCTCTATAGCCTCAACAGCACAAAGTCTGCTTCGACTATCAAGGCGCCCCGGAAATACCAGTTCACAAGAGAGTGACAAACATACAAAAGAAGTAGAGGAAAAATGACGATAGTAAGGATGAGGAAAAAAAGAGCATCAGTTCCCCCTATGTTGTTCCGGCATAGTATGAGCATGACATTGATAAGTCAGCCCATTTACAATTCTACTATGCATAAGAGTGGTTTTTTGGGAATGGCCTTAAGACAACTTCATTCAGTAGCACTGCCCTGGTGGGGGGAGTGTAAGACTCCATCATACGTCACTTTTCATAATGGCGTATAGCATAGTCTTACACTGAGAAGCCGATTTGTCTTTCTATACTTATAGAGCTTGGAACAGGTGGGTGACGGGGAAAGAAAAGCAAAACATAGGTTGGGTTGGGTTTTTTTTTAAAGTACCCAAGCAGAGAAAAGAATGGCGAACCTTAATTGCTGAGGTTTTTCTTCAGATCTAGCATTTCATGGCAGGTTTCTTTTTTTGTTAAATCTACTTCCGGTCTGCTGCATTTTTACAATATTGAGTAGTTTTTAACATTCTTAGGATTTTCTTAGAAGGCTTGCGAATTTTTACAAGAAAAAAATCAAATATATACTATAGATTTTGATTAACAGTTATATCCCAAAGTCTGACTTTGAGCAGTTTGATAATTATTTTCAACACAGTGCTAGTGGCGTTTTGTCTTGCCAATTTGTGTAACAGGGGTATTTCTGACTTTATAAATTGCACTGTGATGTCCTAGACTGCGCTACGACAGCTACTGGTTAGAGGGCTGTGCTCCTGTCTAATAAATAAAAGGCAAAACTCGATGGGTTTCTCTTTTTAAAATGAAAATAGTTGGTACATTCATATAACACGTATCCATGCTCTACAGCATACTCCATGCGCTTTACAGCTATTATAACTCCAGCAGACTCTAGAACATGATTCGGAAACATTTTTTAGCTTCTCAGAAAGTATACTGTCCAAACAGCTGATGAAGTGCTCAAACACTGACAAACTGACAAGATCTTTTGTTGCCTATAGTTGGGTATCCATTCCCATCTGGGTTAAGTGAGAGAAATTTTTGTATTAGAGCCTTTCCCAAGTACACAACATTGGACCCCTCACAGAGTTCAAACCCATATCTTTTAGGTTGCGAGCCCGACAACGTAACTACTAGATTAACAACACAATCAATCAATTTCACTTTTATCGAAGGTATTCAGTTGATGGGTTCTCTTTTTAAAAAAAACTAACAAATGAGTGGAACTATTTTGTGCTCCCATCTACACAATTTGTATTGTTGAGGAGGACACTCCTTCAATCATGCATGTCCGGGTCAACTTCGGCTGAGTGAGACACAACATCCTAGCAAAAAGAAGGAGGTACTTGATAAGATAATTTCCCACGTACAGGAATCAACCTCATGTTTACTGCCTGCAATGAGAAAGAGTCATATCATTACACTTCAGGCCCTGATAAATGAATGAATGAACTCATTGTACTTTTTGTCTCCAAACCGGCAGGCCAATTTCATGTGGGGGTTTTTTCTTTTTTAAAATAAAAATGGGCAAACCTGACATATTATAACCTGATGTTTGTACATCTATTTAAATATAGTGTTGTAAAGCGCATGGAGTTTGGTATCAAGCGTGGATATGCGCTTTACAAATACTATTTATTATTATGATAACTTTTATTATTACGATTATTATTATCTCTTGCACAGTCTTCAGAAGAAGTTCCAGTCTCTGTTTGGGGACAAACTGGAAGTTGTTCGTCAACATCAGCAGCAGGAAAATCTCAAGTTCCTCTCACACTTCAAACGCAAGTTTGTCATCCGTATGGGTAAACGTATGGCCAGTGGGGCAGCTAGTGGGGGCACCCCGGAAAGGGTCAAGCCATCTACTGAATTCTTCCAACTGCGTGCCAATGGGAGCCCCATCGCCACCAGGTGTATACAGGTACTTGGGTGTGTGTGTGTGTGTGTGTGTGTGTGTAGGACTGCTAGTTTCTTATGTTTTTGGAACGGTTCTACCACCAAACCGATAATGGTGCCGAAACTACAGAGTTAATGATGGGGCTGATATTTTAACATCTGAATTTAAAAAACTGGTCCTTTCTGTTTAGTGTGTTTTTGCTGGCTGATAAGTTTTTTTCATTGACTTCTTTTACGTCTCTGCTGGGGTGGCTCATAACTTTTCAGTGCTTCCACTCTTCCGTATTTTTACGGAAATCCGTACTTTCTGCCTGTTCCGTTCTTGTTCCTCCATCATTATCAACTTACTCCGTAAAATACTGCGACTGCATGGGACTGCCGAAATTCCGTAGCAAAATATCCGTACTTGCCTTCGAATCGTCTTGTATAAGTTACGGATATTTACAGTAATTGTCTCGGCAACAAGTTAATGTTATAGACACCTGCCAGATTGCACATTTGCTGCAATCGGCCATTATTCGGCTATGCCTCATGCATTCATTGCGGGTTGGTCGGCAGTACATTTTTTACCTTCAGATGGATCAAAATCTGGCGAACTTTTTGTGCCAATTTCTTGCTTTCTATCATTCTCTCATTCCTTCTGTCTATCTCCGGATTGTTGCCGCGGCTGGAAAATCTGTTCTTTGATCAAGTAAATTGACTTGTGATCTTAGACAGAAAATTACTGTCAGAAAGAAACTTTTTTTTGGTTCAAATTTGTCTAGATCTAGAGAAATTATCAATGCGAAGATTCTACGGTACGTGAATGCGATATAAGGGCTGCAATGAAAGAATATGCTAAGACTACTAAAATTAAGAATAATTCGAAGTGGTGTTCCGAGGTTGTGACAGGCGACATTCAGACAAAAATTGAGGAAAAATTAGGGTATACACTGGGCAACTGTATTGTGAAGGTACATATCTATTCATTATCCCCAGGTTTGCCTTCTATCAATGGTGCGACGACAAATTAATTGAATTATAGTAACAATGAAAGGGGAACCTGCTTTTAAACGTTGCCAGCAATGGAAAGATATGTAGGTGAAGAAATCGAACAAAACAAAATGTTAGTGAAAAAATAAATGTTATGGGTTGTTAGCACTTTCTTCAAACAGGCTCCCAAATGCCATTTTCAACTCTCTAAAAGCACTAAATTTCAATTTCTTTGGGGGCTTTGCCCCCTGAACCCCCACTGGGACGCTGTCCCTGTACCCTGCTGGGTAGCCCCCGTAGAATTTTCCTTACTTTTCAGCTTCAGCTGATGGAACGGTTAGTATTAAAATTAACAGTTGAATGCAAAGCAGCAAAGCTGGAGCTTTATTACAGAGTGATTGCCAGGCTCCAGGAATCCCAGGGAACCTGTGAATTTGAATAAAATCGTTGAGACACAACAAACAACCCCCGAATTTGAGGACGACGCCAAGTGACCTTGGAAAGACCCAAGAAAATAACTTTTGTTCTCTAAAATTTGAATACTTGTTTTGATGAGGTCAGTAAGTTCAATTTTTACCAGCTTTCCACACTCAGTGAGTAAGTTTCACTCTAATAACCGGTTATGGTGGAAGTTTGGTATCATGTTGAGGCTCAGCAGTCTCGATTTAGAAAATCAAGATCTGCTTTCGTTTTGTTTACCCCCAAGATTCTCCAGTGTTGGGCTGATTATAGTTATAGTCAAGACATATAGTTTGTGTATGATTAACTCAGAAACACCATGATGCAAGGTTCACTGGAGTTCTGGTTAGTCATTCCCTGTCTCCAAGACCAGTCTGTGAAACTGAACTTCCACTGCATGTTCATGTAAGCAAGACAGACATGGGCCTTGTACATAAACAAGTTTTGTAAAGTCAAATGGAAGAGATTGAAATACAGTCGAACCTGTACTTAGGGTTACCTGTATAGGACAATCGCCAATACAAATGGCCACTTCCCATTCTCCCTGGGGGCCAATTTTCTCTTTGGCAATTGGTAGCTGGCTTGAACAATTTTGACTGGTATTTCAAAAGTGTAGATCAAAATCATTTTTTATCATCATCTGTTATGATAAGTAAGTAGGAAATATGCTTTGTCGTTGCACTGGTACAACTTGAGATCTTCCTATTTTACTTTTTTTCCTGCATTGAATGTCCACTTTCATGTCCTTTCATTTTTTGCCCGTTTCGTTTCAATACTAAGGTGTGCTGGAGGTGCTGTTGGTAGGCCCTATTTCTTTTTTCTTCGCCTTTTGTTGTTTCTGTCTGTCTGTTTTACTTTTTACTGCACTTACTGACGTCTGCCTCGTTGTCCCTAAAAACAAAACAAAAATTGTTCAGTCCATTCAGCTTAATCCTCAATTCAATGTCCAAAATTATCGACCTGTTGAGAAATTTCTTTTTAATCATGTCTCAGAATTCCAGTTGGCTTCTTGGGCTGAAGTAAAATTGTATCTGTAAAAAAATGTTTTAGATAGGGGGCTTTATTTCTAAAAAGATAATAGACTGTAAATTTCTTTCTTTTTTCAGTTACCGAAGCCAGATGCCTCATGGCTGAATCCATTTTTCTGGTGAGTAAGTTTAGTTAGTTTTAGTAAGGTTT